TGCTTGGAAAACTGGCTATCCCTATGTAGTTGAATGAGGCTAGACTCTTATTTACTACTCTGCACAAAATTCAACTCAAAATGGATCAAAGACCTAGGAATTAACCAGAAAATATTAAACCCCTAGAAGAAAACACAGGGTCAACACACCAGCATATAGGTGCAGGCAACAACTTCCTCAGTAGAACCCCCAAAAGCTCAGGAAATAATGCCAACGGTTAATAAATGGGCCAGCATTAAGTTAAAATGCTTTTGCACAGCAAAGGAAATAATTAAGAATCTGAAGAGAGAACCTACACCATAACATCTTTGCTAGGTTCCTTTCTGGAAGAGGTTAATATCTAGAATATATTAAAAAAAAAACTTAACACCCATAAAATAAAATAACCCAATTAATAAATGGGAAAATGAATTTAACAGACACTTCTCAAAGGAAGAAAGACAAATGGCCAACAAATGTATGAAAAAATGTTCAACATCCTTAGCAATTAGGTAAATGCAAATTAAAACTACACAGAGATTTCATCCCACACGAGTCAGAATGGCAGTCATCAGGAACAATAATAAATGCTGGAGAGGATGTGGAGAAAAAAGAACACTTTTACACTGTTGGTGGGATTGTAARTTAGTACAACCATTATGGAAATCAGTATGGAGTTTCCTCAAGAGACTAGGCATGGAATTACCTTATGACACAGCTATGTCACTCCTCAGTATTTATCCTGAAGAATTAAAGTTATCTTACCACAGTGATACATGCATACCTCGGTTTATATAGAAGCACAATTCATAATAGTTAAACTATGGAACCAATCTAGGTGTCCATCAGTGGATAAATGGATAAAGAAAATGTGCTATATATACACAATGGAATTTTATTCAGCCATAAAGAAAAATGATATTATGGCATTTGCAGGAAAATGGAGACCGTTATGTTAAGTGAAATAAGTCCAACTCAGAAGGTAGAAGGTCATATGTTTTCTTTCTTATGTGGAAGATAGAGACGAAAAAGGAAAAGAAAGGTGGTGGTGGTGGGGGGARTCTCATGAAAATCAAAGGGAAATCAATAGGGGAAAGGGACCGGGGAGAGAGAGGTAGGGAGAAAAGGGGGAATTGCTGGGAAGGGATATTGGTGAAATCACAGTGTTATATTGTGTGCATGCATGAACATGTAACAACAAATCACATCATTGTGCACCAATAAAACAATGTGGGGGAAAAATCTTACTGAGAATCTTCTCCATTTATGGTATTTCTGTTTTCTAGCATGACACTGTTACATGCTAGGTACATAACATTTTTTAAATGAAAGTCTGTGGAAGGTYTAATATTGTATAAACTTAATGTTCAGACAAATCAGATGAATTTTTCTTGATCAATCGTTTAACTCTGRCATCATAATATTTTAGAAAGAATACATCAATGCCTTGCATACAGGAAATGCAGAACAAATGAATGAACSRTGTYTGCTACTACAACCTGGAGGTCACAYTGAATGTTCAGAGCTGGTTTCTGAAGTGACTACTGAGCTGTAGTATTAAATCAGGGTCAAAGGCTTATGAGATGATTACTCTTTGTATCTCAATGGATGAAAACATCTATTTCCAGCAGTTGCAGAAATTACCCAAGATCCCGTTGCCAGAAATAAATGGAGATGGGATTCAAACTCAGGCCTTTGACTCCAGTCGCTTTTAACTCCATGTTATGCTGCCCTCTAGTGGTAACCCCAGAGGGATCGGCCTTCCAGGGAAGTTTTACTGTTATTTTTATGTGATTTCTTCCTCAAAATAGACTTTCAAATAACTTGTCTTTGGTTTTTATGATAATATTGCCCTACTTGCTCATTTGGATCTATTTAGCTTTCTTCCCATTTCCTTGAGTGCTGAAGGATAGCTTTTATTCTCACAGAAATATAATATGTACATTCCCTTCTCAGCTGCAGGGCTGACCTGAAAATGAGGTCAGGCAGGCAGCTTTTTGTGTATATAGAATGTAAGGAGTGCCAGGAGGCCCTCCCTACCCAGGAAATGTCCTTCCCTCACATCCTGATGCTTAAAATTCCAACACGCTTCTGTTTCTAGCTATGTAATTTTTCACAATGAAATACATCGGGGATAAAAAGACATTGTAAGCTAAGCATCCTGCCAGCATGCTTGTTTTCTTTTAACCACCAATCCTTTACTGAGTAGGGGTTTTTGGAAGTGGACTCCAGTTGGGTACAGAGTACTGGAGATTTGAAGCTAATTAAGAAGTGATTTCTGATCTCAGGMAGGTTTGATTTGGGAAGCAGATAAATGCAAAGGAAACACAATATACTGTTTTGGATGCCAGGATGCAGGCATTTAAAAGGTGCAGGGAAATCCAAAAAGGGAGGAATGTACTGGCTCTACTTGCAAATGTGAGAGCATATATATTAAGCCTGAAGACCTTCACACTTTAGTAAGAATGTATTGTAAAGACTTTTGTTTCAGGAGGCATTCTTTGGTGATAGGAAAGGGTTTGGAGTGAGTACGAATTCATGCACATATTATAGAAGAAGAGAGAGAACAGTAATCAGAAAAAAAAATTCCTTTCAAAGTTGAGCTAGCTCAGTAATGGAAACATTGAACACCCAGTTGTGTAAGCAGCTCACAGGTCATTCATGTCAACTTTCTTCCTTTCACCCCTCACCAAGCCTAGCTGATTATATCTCCTGCATCTCTTGTCCATGGAGATACTTTTTAACTCCATTGGGCTCACGGTAGCCTAACCTACCAGCTTCTCATRCTCGGACATTGTATTTGCTCTGCTTGAGACCACCCATGTCCATCCTATGTCCATCGGATGATACCAATCCACTCAATGCCTTCACACTGCTGTTAGGGTAAGAAACAAAATTCCTAAACATCTAGTAGACCCTACCTGACCTGACTCTAATTGACACTGTTACCTTTCTCTGAGACTATTCTCCTCCTCACTCTCAGACACACCTGTATTAGGTGTGATTTTAGAGTATTATTCTGCTTCACTCCTATAGAAGATTTCTACCAATGGTCCCATCTTCACCAATCTGTCCACATTCTTTCCCACACAACACTTCAGTGCCCTCTTACTCATGGTGACGTGTAATTGCCTGGCTCTGAGTTCAGCCAAGTGACTTGCTTTGGCCAATAAAATTAGACAATGTTCAGAGCTCAGGCCCTAGAGGCCTTACGTGTTTCTGCTTGTTCCCATGAACCTCTCCCTTTTCTGTGAGGGGAATATGGTCCTAGGGAAAGGATAAGGGACATCTGGAATAGAAATATCCAACTGAGCCCAGCCTAGGGAAAGTGAACCCAGTGGACAAATGGATTTATGGGAAATGATAGCATTTAAGTGTTTTGGGGTTGCTTGTTAYGTAGCAATAGCTAACTGATACYCTAGACACAATGATTTGCATTTTCTTGGGGCTTGATAAATATCCTCTATCTTTACTCTTCATATTAAACTTTTCTATTTTGGCAAATCAGGGTCAAAGACTGTATAGATTTATGAATAGCAAACTGTGGCTTGAGGATTGAGTCCTAGTAATAAAACAGTGGGTTATTCCCCCACGGCTCATCTGTGGCTTTCCAAACATGACAAGGGCTTTCTTTCCAATGCCATAAACTGGATGGATTAAATTGGGCATGGATCTTTCCATTCCTGCTATAGAAGTTTTTCATCCCTGGGAGGGATAGCAACTCTGCTGCTACAACCTGGAGGTCGCACTGAATGTTCAGAGCTGGTTTCTGAAATGACACAATCCACTTGCATTTTAGATAAGGGCAGAGTCTGTCATAATAGGCATTTTAAAGGTCAGGCTAGAATCAAGCAGGACATCTTGTTCCTTTAATCCTTGTCCTTTGAATTTCTCTCTGAAAAAAAACTATTGAATATTTCTGCCTTTTCCATTTTCTCTACCCAGACGAAAGCTATTACTTAAATGGATGCTAATGAAGTCACAGGCCAAGACATTGACAACTCRAAATGAAAACTATGAGTGCCTGTGGTGTCTATCATACCCTGCACTCAAAGAGATGGCAAAATGCTGTGCCCTCAAAGGAGACTCCTGAACTCAAGACTCTTGCACCTTGCACTCCTGTGTGATGGGTGAAGAGTGACTTGGGTGTTGATTACAACATCATCATCAGGTCAGAACAGAAATAAAGTYGTAAAAGAAAATGGTGCACAGGTGTCATGGCATGGGAGACAACCAACGTATACACACCTGGATTGATGCAGTTCTTCTCCCTGAAATAAAATTTAAAAGTCTTTGTTTTAGTCTTGCTTGAACCCATCCAATATTTCAAAGCAGACTTTTTTTTTCTTTTCTGAGGTGTGGGAGCCATGGAACCAGGGATTAAACTTGGGGGCACTCGACCACTAAGCCACATCCCCMGCCTTATTTTGTGTTTTATTTAGAGACAGGACTCACTGACTTGCTTAGTGCCTCACTTTTGCTGAGGCTGGCTTTGAATTTGAGATCCTCCTGCCTCAGCCTCCTGAGCTGCTGGGATTATAGGTATGCGCCACTGTGCCTGGCTGAAAGCAGATTCTTGAAGAAAAAAAAAAAACCCTATAAACTCTCTCAGTTAAAATGTTCTGGATTTGGAGGGTGGGGGGGTGAGGGGGCAGGGAATGAAGAATTTGAATAATTAGCTCTTTCTCCTCTTTTAATTCAGCCTTGCTCTGTCTTCAAATGGTGGTTTGCCAAAGGACCACCGCCACTACCCAATCAATGCCCGACAGACCACAGTTAGCCTCACCTTAGAGTGGGCCTTCAAGGACACAGGAGAAGGTGAATTAGGCTAGCATTCATTTTCCTTCCTCCAAATGGGACACCTCTTTGACTTGACAGCCAATGCTTCTAAAGGGTGTTTCTGTCCCCTCAACCCTGTCTTCCTGTGCTGTCTCCCATCCTGGGGCCCCTTGGTCCTGGGGGGAGTGGGCAACCCTGAGACCTGTTTTGCTTTTCAGTCCACCAAGTGCTAGGCAGGAGGCTTAGAGCTGAGTTACCTGAGGTCTTGGGGACCCTGCAGTAGGGCTGGGCGTTGAGTGGCCTTCTTGCCCTGGAAGAGAGGCCCAGTGAGGAGACCCCTCATTGATGGGCCGAAATGCAAGAAGGACATGTTCATCAGGGGTCCTGGTTGGGGACTTGAAGGAGTCAGCTGTGCTGAGGGTACTTTCAGGATCTGAAAGCCGTCCTGAGCGGGGTCTCAGGGGTGAGAGGGAAGGTGAAGAATCTCTTGGGCTTCCAGGTAGACTCTGGGAAAGGTGACCTGGGGAGCCTGTAGGATCTCTCCAGCTTTTCTGGGTGGACACATCCAAGACATCTTGGTGAGGTGGCGAGATGGAAGACCCCTGGCTACTGCCCCTTAATCTCCTCAAGGTGGGAGAGGTGGAGATGCGGCCGGGGGCTTGCCGGTCAAACTGGAGAAGGTTCCCTTGGTTCTCACAGAGCTTCTTGGACGGGTTCCAGGGCCCCTGAGGAGAGGTCCCACAGCCCTGGGGTGGCGCTTCAGGACAGGAAGACTCTGTTCTCCCCACAAAACTAAGAGGACCGACGGATGGAAGCTTCCAGGAGACACCGTCTGGGTTGCTGTTCTCTGGAGCACAGTGAGGTGGCTGAGTTTCCAAATCCAAGGGCCACCCTTCCTCTGGCACTTCTTGGTCCTCTCCCAAAGGACAGTCACAGGCTGGTGGCTGCATCTCCCGTGGGGAGGAGCAGAAGGTGGAATCTGCAGTAAATGAGGAGACTGGGGTGAGGACAAAGGTTTCTGAAACTTCAAGGAAAACTTCTAGCTCTTCAGAAGAGATAAGTAGAGCCTAGTTCCCATTAGCATCCTTTACTGAGGATAATGAGCATAATGAGGATAATGAGGATAATGTGATTCGAGCTGCCATATCTAAATAGTCTACTGAAATCCAGTGACTGTTTAACATTCCTTCTCATTCCAAACAAACAAACAAACTTAAAAAACTTTAGTGACTTGAGGGGTTCCTTGGAAGTCACACAGCTAGCTACTTTTTAATTATTTCATTTTAAGAGAATCAAAAGTATGAAATATGATATGTCAAGATCAGTGTGATGTTTTGAACAACCAATTAAAAAAAGAGAATCAGATATACTTTAAATTCTATACATCTAGCTTGTATGTATGTATGTGTCTATTTATGTACTTTGGTGCATTCTAGAACAAAGAGAATAAGATCTATCCTTTGAGTTTTAAATTACATAATGAAACACATCTTCAAATATAATAAATGTAAAGATTTGACAAAAGACATTCCAGATTTTATCAATACCCATATATTTTTTTAAAAAAAAATGACTTGAGTTTGAAAAGAAAAACTCAGGTGTCACCAGATATCYTGCTTCTCATGATTAGCTTATCCTCTAGAATGTACACAGGCCCAGTTACCTCCCTATTAAACCCTTCTCAGGCTCAAGGAAAGACTGATTCTTCTGCTTGACAATTTGATTCATGGCAAAATGGAAATGATCTATGGCAGTTCTTTTATTTTGTAGTTTCCCACACGAACAAAGTATTTCTGTGTGGGAAAACATTATTCCTCACCCATCCATCAATTTCATGACTGTCAACAGATGAGGGGTGAAAACGGAGAATAAATAATATAACCRTCTTCCCTTGCCATGAGCAATGGGCAAGGTGGCTTTAGACTGTGTGTGGATGGTTTGTGGATGAAACATCAGCAGTTGATTGCTTATTCTGAGACCTCCACAACAGTTTGAGCAAGCCTCTAATTCTCCAGTGAAGCAGCAACCTGGAACCCTTTGGGAATGAATATATTTGAGTCACCAAAATTTAAGGATACCAGTCATCTATGTTTTTTTAGTGCTATATAATTCCAATTGCATTGACAATATTTTTTAGGAGAGCATTTTTCTATAGTGTATTAATTTGTTTCAACTTGATAACAGCGAGGGCTGAAAGCCAATAAACTTTTTCTTGTGACCTGACCTCATTGCACTGACTATCACTCAAGTACTGTGCTGAAAGATGGTGATTGTTACTGTGTTTGTTGGAGTTCTGTGGTGTAGAAAGAATTAACAGGCTTTTAAATTCATCCTTACCAGTAAAGAGGAGGAACCCGGTGTTACCATGCAGTCGTGACGATGTTGTAACACTGATGATGAGGACTTCACGACTCTTATATTGACTCCCTGACTCTCACTGGGTTTCGGGTCAGATAAAATAATACTAGGTACTGGATTTTAGACTGGAGAATTGTTTAAGGAGCTACTTAGACAGCAATGAAAGTGAATTCAGTTCTTTTTTACAAAAGAAATTTGAAGTCCTCAATGTTGGGTTTGCTTTACTGTTTTGAGCTGAGGATTCAAATGCTATAAAACTTCACGTGTCACACCGGAACGCATGGGGTACCCTTTACTGGGGGTGGAACAAGGAGGGTAATGCCAGCTAGAACCTATATACAGAGAAGGCTGGGCTGCACTGGATTTGAAGGTTCATGATTTCTGGTCGCTGCTCTAGAGATTAATACCAGCTTTGTTGGAGAAGGAGAAGTCCCGCTCTGATCATTGGTGAGCTCAGCTCTGTTAGGTGTGTTAGGTTTGCTYAGGTCCTGAGGCCCTGGCTGTTTCATGGAGGACCCAGTTCCTTATTTTCATGCCAAAAAATGTCTGAGCTGAGGTCTGGAGTTATAGGTACTTYCACATATGCACACACCCAAGGATTCTACTATTTTTCTTTAGAGGATTATCCAAGTTCAAGGCGGCAATAATGTTAAAGAAATTCAGTACGTTTACATGGGCCCTGCCATACTGGTTGTATCRGTTTCCTTAGGTTTCCCTTCTGTCCTTGGGGCCTGCTTTCTCCTCCTTGGAAGAGAGCCTTAGGTAGCCTTTTCAGCTGTCCAGATGTAGGTGTGTGATCACTGGTAGGAGGTTATCTATGTCCAGTAGGATTTAAGAGTCATTAAGTATTCTTTATTGGCCAGTGTCCTAAATACTGGAACCAAAGCATTACTAATGGCACTTGGGCCACGGCATGGTGACTGGCAACATGACTCACCCAGCACTGGAGAAAAGCAGCAGGACTTTGGGAAGTGGCTGGTAGATAGATCGGAAGGGTTCAAACTCAGGTGGATCTGGCTTCTCTTCCAGCTTCTCTGCCAACTATGTCATGTGACCCACGATGAGCCACTTCTCTGTCTGCCTGTGTGCAGCMTTTAGGAGAAGGCCTTCAGGGGCTGGTTTCAGGAATTAAATGAGATAGTGGCTAAGGCTCCTGGGAGGCCCTCCCCCAAAGACTACCCCTTGTGGATCTGATAAGAGTTGAAAGTTAACTGTGAACTAGTTCATGCCAACTCTGCTTTATGTTATCTAAAAGGCCAGACTGTGATCATTTTAAAGAGGTCACCAGCCTTTGACTTCCCAAGCTTAAGAATCTAGCRAACAGCCACTTTCAGCTTTGGAGAAGGCTCTCACTGTACTAGAAATTAAACCGCAGGGATTAATGATTCACAGATTCTAATTAGATCTGGAAAGACCAGCTAGACAGGACCCGGCAAAGCTGGTGGCAACTGGTTTTGTACAAACAGAAAATGCAAGAGGGAAACCCAGAAAACAGCTGAATGTCTTTATTACCTGTGGGAAGGTCTGAATGTGACATTGTCCGTGTGGATCCTGACCATCCAGAGTTTGCAGAATCCCAAAGAGAGCTGCCAGACCAGGGCTCAGAGCAAGAGGTTCCGCGAGCCTGTAACAAAGCACCCTCCCTTCTGAATGCAAGTGACCTTGATAGAGCTGAAATGAGGAACTGGCCTCTCCCCTCCTTAGAGACCTTTCTAGTTATTTGTTTATGAAAAAGCTGAAAGGCAATCGAGTTCAGAACCTAAGACCGCCTAAGACAGAGTCAGGTGATTTGTTTTTACTGAATAACGGCTGCTCCAATACAGAAAGGATGCAAATTGGCCTCTTATTTCCCCTTAAGGTGTCCAACMATCATTCACGACAGTTCAGGGAGACGGTGCTAGCTTTATATTCTATTTCCTCTAAAAAAGTGAGAATCATTCCTTAGGACCTTATTTTCTTCACATCTTAGAATATTTTCTGCCAATCTCCTTTACTAATGGGATGCTTTGATCAGCACCAAACAATAGAGAAAATTTATAAACATTAATTTTCAAAGAATTAAAATGTACATCGAAAAGTATTTGTATCTACCAATATTCTCATTAGATCAGTAGCCCCAAAGAACATTTATTTAGTGCCTAGGTAGACTTTTTAAAAGCCAATTAGCATCAAAAGTTGTCTATAAAGTTTTTAGAAAAAACAAAATTGGACTGGGGTTATAGCTCAGTGGTAGAGCACTTGCATAGCATGTATGAGGCACTGGGTTCAATTCTCAGCACCACATATTTATATGAACAAAATAAAGGTTCATCAAACTAAACTAAAAAAATTTTTTTTAAAAAGCCTAATTCTAATTGCCAGTTTACTGATTTTTTTTCCACTTAGAACCATCATAGATATTTATTGTGAAGGTTTCTCTAATCAGTGGTTCAAGGTAGAAGCCCTGGACCAGCAGGGTAACATCACTTGGGAATTTGCTAGAAAGAAAAAAATCGCAACAGACCCATCATCTGACCCAACACTCCTTGGTGTTCATCCTAGAGAATTAAARTTAGCAAACTGTAGATTTATATACATACCCATGTCACAGCAGTGCAATCCACAAGAGCCAAATTAAGGAACCAGCCTAGGTGTCCATCAACAGATGAATGGATAAAGAAAACATGGTATATATACAATGGGGTTTTATTCAGCTGCCAAGAAGAACAAATATTATGTAATTTACAGAAAAATGGATGGAACTTGAGAGCATTCTGCTAAGCAAAATAAACCAGACTCAGAAAGGCAAGGGTTGTTTGTCAATGGATCCAACTGTTGTATATGATTCTAGTGCATAGATAAAAGATGATAAACAAACAAATACTGGATTGACCATCTTTAAAAGAAAGAAAGAAAAATTCCACCCCCTTGTTATCAAAAACTTCACAGTGGGGCCATAATTCTGTGTTTTAACCAGTCCTCTAGGTGATTTGAGAACCATGTTAAAATTTGAGAACCACTGTCTTAGGAATAAAAAGGTCTAACGCATAGATCTTGGCCTCATGATAACCTTTGTGTTAGTCTTTAATTCTCTCATATTGGTCTTTTTAAAACAGCATTTACTTAGTGCTTTAAAAATGACTTGGTCTCCTCCCCTCACTAGCACCAGCTCCCAATCCACCCTGGAATATCAAGTCATATCTATTTTGACCACTGTGCAGCGGACAGGACACAGTCAGAGCTCCTGCCAAGGCTATCTAGAAAGGGATTGCTTCACTTCAGGAATAAAGAAAAATGAATGAAGTCTTTGACCTTTTGGCTTGTGGAAGGCAGGTCGTCCTTCATCTACTAGTCCCCTCACACACACACCTGGTTTTAAAACTGCCAATCCTGGGGCATCCTGATAATGGAATAGTTGATGCCAATACAGAAATGTCCAATTTGTAGTTGTAACTTGAACAAGAAAATTAAGAGTCTACAGAAAGGTCACAAAGGATGATCAAGGAAAAAAAAAGTTGACTTTCCACCTGGTTTGTCAAAGAGCAGGGATCAGGGAGGGGAGAGGACACCCGGGGTCTTGAAAAGGTGGCCCTTTATCTCTCAGTGTGAGGCA